GCGAAAAAAAAATTCAATCAAACACTACCCGTTACCAAAGTTACTACAAGTCAGACATAAATCAAGATAGAAGAAAGCATCTCTTTCTCTCATCATTTCATGTTGGTTGACTCTTACACCGAACAGTAATCAATCAGAGGCTTCATTTATTGTCAACGACATGGTTCTGCTTGTCATACACGAACAACATCACTCGATTGTCGACAACTTACAAAATCAAATGAGAACTTTGAGTTTGATGATAAGGAGACTGACTGACTGACTGTGTGAATGAAACGAAATGAAAAGAATTCTAATACCGATGGTGATGGTGAAGAAGAAAAGGGAAAAATTGAATTTTTTCAGCTACAAAAAGCTAATTAATTTAATTATAACAAAATCGTAACATCATTAATGAATGTTTTTCAGTTTTCATTTTTGTTTTCATTGAATCGAATCAAGATTGTCACATCATCATCATGAATGAATCAATGATGAAATTTCAATTTTATTACCAACTGATTTATTTGACCATTATTCAATTAGTGATTGAAACATTTACATTGTAACACATGAACAGAGGGAGCACGTTTTGAATAAACTTGATTCACAAGTGATGGCCAATTAATCTATGCTTTGCATGAGAAGAAATTTTCAAAATTTCTCTCTGATCAATGCAACACTACGATTCATTTTCAATTTATCGATTTTCGTAAGCCGTCATAGAATCATCAATCATCAACAACAAATTCAGTTTATTCATTTCTCAGTTACTTGGTTATTTTTTATTTTGTTCAAAAAAAGTTTTCTCCATAGCACACACACACAAACACATTCAGGTCACTTGACGTATTCGGTTCGATTCTTCTCGTGATAAACTAGACTAAATCATCGAATGTGTACAAATCATGTTTACAAAAAAACACCATTGATTCACTGCTCGATGAAGTGACATTTGCGTTTGCTTCACAGACATTTATCATCATCATCAACTTGATCAATCTTTCTCAAAGTTTTCGTGTTTAGCTACTATTATTCAGTTATTGAACAAATCAATGAAAAGTTTCGGGAAATTCATACGGAACCAGAATTTATCGTGCCGAAAGCAAATTATTAAAAAGGCAAAATAAAAAATCAAAGTTGCCAATCATCAACAACAACAACGATGGAAACGATCGATCGTCGATTATTTATTTTTACAAAAGAATAGTGATCAATGCTGCCATCTATCGACTGGCGTTTTAAATCGATTAAAATTGGTTTAACTCTTTTATTTTTCAGTTAAGCATCATCATCATTATTTAATCATAGACTGTGAATCGAATGATGGCGGAGAATCAAACAAAAATGAAAGCAAAGATTAAAATCGATATTCCGGCCTCGGAGATGTACTTTTCACTTCCTTCATTCAGTTCAAACAACAAGAAAAAGACAGTGTCTACACATTATGATCAGTGAGATCATGATGCAAAAAATGACATTTATTTCGATCACAGGCAACTGTCAACTGAAGTAAACAACATCAAAACTCAATGGCCATATATAATGGGATATTAATCTACTGAATACAAACATACACACACACACACACACAATAAAGGAAAATGTAATCTATATTAGATTTGGCACACACACACACACACAGTTTGTTTGGACATTTACTCCTTTATGGATTTCCATTGAAAAAACTGAACAAAACAAAAAAAAAACTCATTGTTATGGTTCATCGGAATCGGTGCAAAAAAAAATTCCATATGTCATCAATTCATGGAACGAAAAACAAAAATTCTGGTTTAAAAATTCTTAAATCGTTCGAGAGCTAAAAAAGTTTATTTTCATCACCAATGGCATTCCTGTACAGTGTACACGAACAAGTGAATGGAATCCAGAATCGCGATCGTGAACGAAACATTCAATGAATGAATGAATGAATTAATAGAAAACAAAATTAACGCACATGTTATGAGAAAGAGAAAGAGACTTTTGACACTTTAGCCTTTTTTAATGAAATTTATATTGTCTCTACTAGCATACTGTGTGTGTGTGTGTGTGTGTTTTTCTCACCTAATTAATGATCCTAGAATGGATCTATTCGGCTTTTCACATATTGAAAGCCTCAAGGCTGGCCTGGTTAAGAATAAAACATTATCCCAAAGTGAGAAAAAAGTTCGGACTAAAGCTGCTGTGTTTGTCGAGAAACTTATTATCCATCGATAAATTTTCTGGGCTCGCAAAATTGGTGCCGACCATTTATAATTAAAGTGAAAAGACCAAATTGATCTGATGGCAGTACGGCACAACTAATAGGCTTTTCTATCATCATCCGAGCACGGATAAATACGTTATGCATATGTAAATGTCAATTTATGGCCATCATGGGAGAAACTAGATCACTTATTATCGATATATTAGTAATGACAACTTTATGAAACAAAGTAATCAGCCATATATTAGGGATTCCATCATCATTTGTTTGGTTACATACGACCGACAGGCGTCAAATCAATTTAGGATTCCATGTGTGTGTGTGTGTGTGTGTGTGTGTGCAATTTCTGCAAATAACAAGTCCAAGATGTCACACACACTAACATACATATGAAACAAAATATTCCTTTTTTATCGTAGCTGACATTCCTGTGTGTTGGTTTGGTGTGGCACATCTGGCTTGTCATCATCATCACATTGGTTTTGCGGTGTTTTCATGTCGATTCCATCGATAAGCTTATTATTATTATGATGATGATGATGATGATGATTCAAGGTGCGTGTTTGCCATTTTTCCTATTAACAATCCGAAACAAAGTTTCAGGACAAAAAAAACATACAAAACAGAAACATGTCACATACAACAACAACAAACATGTGGATCGAATTGGTATTCGAAACTCCCGGTGAAATTGAATGAATGAGAAAGATAAAAAACTGATTCTGTATAACTAGCACGTAGTCTGTGTAGTAGAATGAATGAGATTGGAAATGAATGAAATTCGAAACTAGACACCACTGAATCGTTCAGACCAACGAATTGAGGAAATTTGATCATTTTTCCTCCTTTCTATTTCGGGTTACAAATGTCCCATCGTTTATTAGTTGCATGTTCAATACCAAACAACTGTCATTGTGACCATTATGAAATTATGAAATTGAAAATTGAATCAAAAATTAATAAATGACAACCATGTAGCATTGATGGATTATGTGTTTCAACAATTATCAAATGCCATGTGATGTAAACATTTCATGTCATTTCATTTCAAAGCATTTAATGTAATTAACAAACGACTGCAATCAATTGGTCGTGATGTCATAATGTCGTTCGTTTGATTTGTATGATGAGATGTGAGATTCATTGTTTTAAAACGAAAACATTCAACTGCTGCAAATACACAGTAATTACAGCATTACTTTAATGTAAAGAGAATCATGAACAGAAATGGAGCCTTATTTTATTTATTACCACGTTTATGGTGATCATCATCATCATCATCATCATCATTACGGCTAAATCGCTACTAGCGTTTTAGCTTTGGATATAATATAAATAATGGCCAAACAAAAAAAACGTCATCATCATTATAATCAACGCCCGTAACATTGACCAGAATATGAAAGAAAAAGGAATTAGTTACACCATACTCGATACAAAAAAACCGAAAAATCCAAAAGAACATGATTCAAGACAGCATCATTTTTATATGGGGAGCATCACTGAGAGAAAGAGATAAAGTGTGTATCATGTCCCATTAGAGCTTGCAACCGTTCCATTCATTTCATTCCATAATTAGTGTGTACATGAAGCTAATAACAACAACAACAAAATGAATCGAAATCTATTTCCCCACAGTCAGTCAGTCCTATCTGCTTGGGTTAGGTGAATGAATGAATGAATGAGAAAAAAATCATTGATTCAAGCATTCTGGCTGATGTTGATTATGATGGAAGAGAGAGAGAGAGAGAGAGAAACTCATTTATATCCACTGATTATAATCAACATAGATCAAATGATGATGATGATGATACACATCCAGGAAATGCAATTTTCATCAGCATTGCCAAAGTGATCTGTGTTTGTAAGTTGGAAATATGAAAAAAAACTCATCTTGATTCAGATTACGAATGGCAATGACAGTGAGAATTTCTTTTCGGAAAATGGAAAAAACAAACTTTCAAACTCCAACATCACGAAAACCAAGTTTTGATGGTTTTAGAACCACATTTTTTCCAATGAAAATGAAACGAGAAGATAACAAAAAACTATTCAACACGGACAATGTGTTTATTGACGTTGTTCGATCTGTCACAATTGGCTATGAATCATTCAGCAATCATAATTTTTGATGATTTTTGTCGCGCCCCAATATTCCCAAACGGCGTCATCATCATCGTAATCAACTATTGACTAGTGTGACAAGTCTAATTAAATTTGATGACAACACCATCATCACCAGACAGGAGCCATGTAAAAATACAAGAAAACAAAAACCCAGGAGCCATACATTTTATTTTTCTATTTTTTTTTGCTGAATTCAGAATCAAAATAAAAGCATGATATGTGTGTGACAAAAACTGCCGACTTATCAATTCAAATTCAAATTCAAATTCGTGAATTTCGAAATTCACGTCGAGTCGCAAAAAAATTGAACACAAAAAATTCAAACAAAGACTAAATTCAATGGCAACAAATAGACAATGTGCCCGTGCCCATGATCCAGAAATTGACAAACAGTGTGTGTGTGTGTGTGTGTGTGTGGGAATTCAAATGTAAATAACTTTGGTTTGTAAATAGTTTTGTACAAACATAACATTGAAAAGTATTGGCAATATTTATGTATGGGCACAATAGACATACAAGTTTGAGAAAATTCCGATTCTTCTCACTGTCATGCAGTGTGTGACTGAAAGAATCATATTTGAAAAGTTTTTTTCACAAAATCAAAGAATCGAATGGCAAATCTTAGATTCGCTACAAGCGAAGCGAAAAGAAAGTGAAAGAAAAGAAAAGAAAAACGGCATAAACTTACCTTTTGTTAGTGTTGAATTTGATTGTCGATGTGATGAGGAAACTCTTTGCTGCTGAGGTTGATATTTTGGGCGAGAAAAGTTTTCTTCTTCATCATTATCAACATGAAGATGATGGGCGTTGAATTGCACGTTGGATGTTTGGCCATATTTAACACTATGGTTGTCACTATGTTTGTTCCCATTGGAATAGGTGTTGGCGTTGTTGGTTCCACTGCTGCTGATAAGGATGGCATTCACGATCATGATACTATTGCTGTTGTCATTGTCAAGACATGTCCAAAATGTTGACAGCCATACCATGACAGTTATTATTATCGTGGGTACTACTTTATCCATTGTGTGCGTTTTCTTGATGATGGTCATGATGATGTGAACAAAGAAAGAAATGGAAAAAAACACCTCCAGATTCCGGATACTTTGCATTCATTAAATTCGATCATTTGAATGAAATGGCCAATTTCCCATTCGAATAGGAAACATTATTATGGACAATGACCATTGATTTCATTTCAATTGGCTGTTTGTTCAAGTGAATAATCGTTATATTTGCAATTCGGAAATATGAAGAGATGTTGGATTCGTGAATCTTTGAATAATAAAAATAGAAAAAAATCCATACAAATAGAATATCAAATCAACAACATTTGACAAAAAGAAAAAATGGTAAATAAATTCACTTTGTCTGTCTAAGTGAGTGAGTGAGTGAAAGTCATGTTTATGAATGATTGGATGCCATTTTTGTGAATCGTTAGGATGGAACAAGCTTAACGTTGTTCAATTTCATTTTTCATTTTCATTTTTTTTTCTTTCGCAAAACCAATGTACAAATCCGAATGGATAGTTACAGGCAGCAAGATAGGAAGAATGCACAGGGATTTTCGATTTTGTTTCGGCAGCAAATCGTTTATTCAAATTTTCGATTCTCTACCATTTCTGTACATGTTTCCGATTTCTCAATCAACCGAAACCAAAATATCAACCGACCAGAAATAACCAGAAACCGCACACACACACAAACTCAAAATGTAACAAAGCGACAAAACAAAGCAAACTTGACGATTCGCTTGGAAAAAAATGGGTAAATTTTCTTGGTTCATTGGTGATGGTTTGAGAAAGAGAAAAGTAGAAAATAGAAACCAACAAAGGCCATATTCTGAGTGGAGAGAGTACAAGAATTTAATAATTTAATAATATTTTTGTCTATAAGAGAGATGTTCATGGATCGCTAGATTGATGTTCATTCTGGTGTTTTGGATTTTCTTTATATTTTTTTTTCAATGAATCCCCCTTTCTGACCTAGCAACGAACAAATTCAAGTAAATTTTCAGCAATGCCTGAGAAATGAAAATTCCAATCGAGATGATTCACCATCATTGAATGAATGAATGAATTTTTCCTATAATAACGAGGTTTCACTCTCGCGTTCAATCATTTCATCATAATAATAAATCGATTTTCAATCTTATTTGCTCCAAACAAATAACAACAACAACAACAACATGGAAAACACAAACAAAAACGAAAAAAAGAAATGACTAAGACTCACTAATACTTAAGAACAAGAACAAGGGAACAAAATTTAACTTTACTCTCTCTCTCTCTCTCTCTCTATGTATGCCGTAGGATCATGATGAGAATTTTGCAAAGAATAATAATAACCGAGTAAAAAAGAAGTTTGCAAAGCAAATAATGGAACCTTATGTGAATGTTTAAAGAATGGATGTATCCGTTGAATTTGTTTGTTTGTTCTATGATGAGAAAGAGAGAGAGAGAGAGAATAGAAAATCTATTATAATTATATCTCTCTCTCTCTGTGTGTGTGTGTGTATTATATAATCATACATAATAGAAAAGCCATTTCCAGTCAACCCAATCAGAGCCAACAACGACCAGATTTTCATTTCTTTTTTCCTTTGAAAATCATGATATCATCATATCTGCATATAAAGGTGAATATTCTATTTAATAATTTGATAAAGCATCTGCCATGAATTTGGAGAATTCTGGACTCGTTCTTCTCATCATCATCATCATCATCAACGACAACAATAAAAGGTTTATTTATACATCGCAGTCAATGATGATCTATGTAATTAATAATGCAATTATCTTTGCCAACACATATCACACACACACTCACTGGAATTGAATTAACAGGATTTGCACATTCATCTGGAAAACAAACAGGTCATCGATCGAGTATGTTTCATATTGCTGATTTGTTGTTGTTTAGACAATGTTTTGTTTTATTTTTGTTCATTGTGAATATTGTTTTTCCATTTTACAGTGAGATAATCGGGGCCATATTCACAGAGAATGAAATGGCAATCGATTCATTATAATAAAACTTTGATCCGATCAGAAAAATACAACAAATACTGTATGTTTGTCTTGTTGAATCGAAAATCGAAATTCTGCTTGTTTGATGGTGCTTAGAAAAAAAAAGTTGGAGAAGTTGTAGAAACAATGGAATGGAATTATTATTATTACTATAAACTTGATGTGGATGATGATAATAATTAGAAAAAGTTTTTCCAGTTCACCAACAACAGCAATAATAATAACAATAATGGAAGAATCGACCAGGACAGCGCCAAACAGAACAGAATCGACATTACCGTCATTCAGATTCAGATACAGAGTCATTGAGAGGAAATTGTTTCTTTTCGATAAACGGATTCAATCTTGTGTGTGTGTGTCTGTGATATGTGTGTGTGCGATCGACGAAAAGCAATCAATGAGTGAACAACGGCAACAACAAATCAGAGAAAACAATCTGATTTGTTAAATCGCCAAGAGTTTGTCTGAGAAAAAAAAAAACTTTGGAGCAACCGAACAAGAATATGCCATTGTCGATTATGAACTACTCGATGGTTTATTGTTTGTTTTGGCTAGTGTTATCTGAAATTGCTGAATTAAGTCATTTCTTTCCAAGTCTCTCTGTGATTATTCAACTGATCAATTGACTTTGTTTCTTTTTTTTCGAATTGAGAAAATGGAACAAAAATGTTTTCGATCGATTTAGCTTTGCAATGAAAAGAGTTGACATTAACTCTGTAAATGGAGAAACAATGTATCAACTAGCACTGATTCAATTTTCTAAACATTCAGTCATTTATCGAGTGAGAGCAATTTGTTTATTACACCGTAAAAAAGTTGGTGTTTTTTTGGATAATTTAAATAAATAAAAACAAAACTACTGACTCGTTCATTAATTTTCATCATTTTTTCTACGATGCTATCGTTTCGACAATGACAATTAGTGTAAATTGACTTTCAAATGCTCATTTTTCGATTACTGAATCAGTGAATGACTGAAAATGCAATTTCCACCATTTTTGAATGGGATTCATCATCAATACCTAGTTGTCAGATTCGTTTCTTTGTCTCAGTATCACACAATCAGAGAGAGACAGACAAAAGCTCAACATGTCAAAGTTTTATTCTAGTTCTGGACGAGCAAAGATAAAAGTTTTTCATTCTGCAAATCCAGATTTTCTCTTTCTCCCTCTCTCTCTGTGTGTGTGTGTGTGTAAAAGTCAGAATTCTTTAAGATTCCCTTCAATGATGGTGATCCAAACAATATGTTGACATTAATGATTATTATTATTATTATGAAGATGACGATGATGAAAAGTCAAACAGCACAAACACAATGACATTGTGCAGATTTCAAAATGAATGTGATTAGAAAACTGTTTATTGTGGAAAAATGTTATGTAAAGTTAATCAAGAAGAGAGTATGGAAAAATTGAAATGAATTTGAATGAGGTGAATTCCATAGCTTTTATGGTAATGACGGTTGATGGATGTGGAAAGAAAAGGTCGAAATTGATGACTAACATATGCTAATCATTACGATTGTTGTTGTTGTCCTGAACGCAATTTGAATGATGACATTGGAGCAGAGTGAGAAAACATTCGAGTCCCAATTGCACACTAAATCATCTTTTCATTCTTAAGCAGCAATTCTATGGAATTTCGAATCGACCGAACCCAGCAGACAATTTGAATTGAAAATGGAAAATTTTATACTTTCAAACTAAAGGTTGTGTTGTGTTGTGTTTCGATTTTGTTGTTGAATTTTTATTTAAAACATTTATCACTCACACTTAATAGAATGGAATGAATTTAAAATCACCACAGGAGGATCGTTGCAACAATTTCCTGGGATATTTGGATCAAATGAATGAATGAATGAACTAGGATCAAGAAAGACCCAAGTGGATACGATGAGGTATAGTGCATTTTCAAGAGCTTCTTGTTGTTGATTATTATTCAGGCATCTTGTTTTATATTCTTTTTTTTGTTGTTTGTTATGTTTCAATATTCATCTAATATTCGATTCAATTCAATTCAATTCATTCACCACCACTGTTGGTTGTTATTATTAGTGTCGTTGTTTTTGTTGTTGTTGCAGCAGCAATATATCAAACAAATTGTCATTGAATGAATGAATGAATTGGCTCAAACAAATAAATGTATTTGCAACACTGAAACACAACATTACAAACCACAGGTAACATTTGTCTAGTTGGAGTGAAAATATTCCATCAACATTTTCCGTGTATTGACAAACATTCAAAGTCGAGTGAAAACAAAAAAGACAGCTTATTATTAGTATTTGTGATGTTTACTAATAGGTATGCCAGAACGGAGAAAAAACGTTTACGTTTCTGGTTTTCTGAAAACAAGCATTTTTCTTCCCTCACCACCATCATTGAATCAATCTCATCATCAATGTTCATAGTCGGTTTGAAAATGGGAATCCCAATGAACCAGAAAGAAAAATACCAACTAATCATTATACAGCACATCAAACTTTTTGTTGTTGTTGTTGTTGTTGTTGGAACTTGATAAAGGTACATGTGGATGCAAGTGTCGGAAGGTTCAGAACCATCACATCTCATGAGAGTTTGAAAGTAAATCTATTCGCTGTTCACTATATAACAAGCATCCATGGAAATGGCCCGAGGCTGCTTTTCCGGTTCATAGCTTGTCAAAAACGTCTCATCTTGTCTTTGGCGTGTTCATTTTTTGTTGCGATTTTCAGATCTAGTGAACTATGAACAGAATATACATGAGATATCCAATTATTTATGAAACGTCATTTTTCCATCAATGATCGGGACCCGATTGCACACACCTAAACCATAAAACAACACTAATTATGGCAACTGAACTGACCCACTCTTTTTGTGTAAAACCATTATAACAAAACAACAAAAATGGCTAATGAATGATGTCAAACGGGCGTGATAGAATAACAAAACAAAAAATACAAAAGTAAAAGAAATCGGATTTTCCATTTCATTCGACAATGGACAAGCCATTTTTTCTTATCTCATCTGTGTCTGTCTCTCTGTGTTTGTGTTTCTGTTTCTGGCTGGATTCTGAAACTTTTTGGCTTTTTTCCCGTTTTTGTTGCATTCAACCACAGTGGACCATGTTTTTTCTCGCTTTATCAATGTCAAAATGTAATGACCACCCCTTCATATTGCAAGTTGAATTTAACTTTTCACATTCACTGGACATTCAGAGATTTTCTCAACACAGATATGGATAGATAGATCGCATATGAACTGA